TTGAAAGCAGAGCAGTTAGTAGGTATGATGTATGTTTTAAAAAGATCACTGGTTTATTTGTCATATCTCAATAAATTTGGGGAGAAAACAAGGTTCACTGGTAGCTGTGCTGTAGGAGGTAGAAGGCAGACTGAAGGAGACAAAAGTGGAACAGCAAAGCCAAACCATAAACTGCTGCATGTATTTATAGATGTCTAAATAGGATTTAAACATATTTTTAATACAAATTATAGAGAAGATGAAAAGTGAAAGTGAAGTCACTCAGTCGTGTCCAACTCTTTGCAACCCCATGAACTGTAGCCCACCAGGCTCCATCCATGGAATTTTCCAGGCAAGAGTACTGGAGTGGGTTGCCATTTCCTTCTCCAGGGGATCTTCCTGACCCAGGGATCAAACCCAGGTCTCCCACATCACAGGCAGTTGCTTTTACCGTCTGAGACACCATAGAGAAGATAGTATAAAATAAATAAGCAATAAGGATGGATTGTACAGCCCAGGAAATTATAGCCATTATTTTCTAATAACTTTAAGTGGAGTATAATCCATAAAAATATTGAATCACTATGCTATACACCTGAAACTAATACACTGTAAATCAACTATACTTCAATTAAAAAAAAAAATGATAGCAAGAAAGAGAAATGGCAAAATTAACTTTTGATTGACAGTGTGAACACAGAATTATATCAACAATGTGTGTGTGTGTGTGCGAGTGCACGCGCACTCAGTTGTGTCTGACTCTGCAACCCCACAACTGTAGCCTGAGAAGCTCCTCTAACCATAGGATTTTCCTGGCAAGAACACTAAAATAGGTGGCCATTTCCTCCTCCAGGGGATCTTCCTGACCCAGACACTGAACCTGTGTCAACTGCACCTCCTGCACCACAGGCAGATTCTTTACCGCTAAACCACTGGGGAAATCCTATATCAACAATAGACAAAACAAAATTCAATAGAATTTTCACTAAAAATTTGTGTTTAATATGAAATTTTGGTGAGGAAATATAATAATATCTTCACCAACAGAGGGCAGTAGTGAATACAGAACATAAGTGTACAAACTGTGATCCAGCTTCATAGTTGAGATCTTTCTACAAAATTCTAGTAAACTAGAATTGAGGAGCATCCCTGAGAGGTTAACAGCAGAGGCAAGAAACCAAGATTAAGCAAATACATATCTATGAGAAGTTTAAATTATAAATATGAGCAAAAAAAAAAATTAGATAAAAATGGCAGAGTATTTATATAGGATGTCATTTCCCTAACTAAATATACCAAACTCAATTCACTGATTTCACTGCTTCTCAGGAGATACCAAAAAATAAAACTAAAGCAAGTGAATAGTCAGCTTCATGTATCTACACATTGATGAAGGGTTTGCCCTTCTGTTATCAACAGGCAAAGCTACATAGGGTTAAGGTCCCAGCCAGGTAGGGTAGAAAAGCTCCAGTTCAAGTGGAAAACAGGGACCCGTACAAATGTGAGCAATCAGTACACTACACCTGGGCACAGAATGTGAAGTTTAGAGGGAAAGGCTACAGCTCAGGAAGCAGCTGAACTTGAAACATAGCCTATGAATAAATGAAGGCAGGCAGCTGACAACAAGGAGACTACTAACATATACACACTGCCTATTCCCTGCTGGGAGTTACACATCCCTTCCTTCCTTTCCTCCTACCTCTGCTGTCCCTCTTCATTTTCACTCTCTTTATAGAACTTGATGCTCTATAGATCACTGAAAGGTATGGCACTACTCCATTTTTAGCCTTAGTTTTTTTTTCCCTGTTTAGATTCCTACAGTTTTTTCTTTAGTATTTTTCCTCACTGCTTTTCTTCTAGCCTGCATGTTGAATTCAAGATTGTTGAGATTCCATAGACAGAAGAAAAAAGTGTTTTGACCTCTGCAGTCATCATTATGTAAAAACGTATACCCTGCCCACTTCATAGTCATTAGTATAGCTACCGTCAAAATATACACACAGACACACACAGAAAATAACAAGTGCTGATAAGGATGTGAAAAAATTGGAATTCTTGTACACTGTTGGTGGGAATGTAAAATGACACAGCTGCTGTTGAAAACAGGATGGCAGTTTCTCAAAAAATTAAAAATAAAATTACCATATGATCCAGCAATTCCACTTCTGGTATATACCCAGAAGAATTGAAAGCAGGGTCTCAAAGAGGTATTTGTACACCCATATTCACAGCAGCACTATTAACAACAGCTAAAGCAAGGAAGCAACCTAAGTGTTCACTGACAGATGAATGGATAAGCAAAATGTGCTGCATACTGATGCATACAATGGACTATTATTTAGTCTTTGAAAGGAAGGAATTTCTGACATACACCATAACATGGATGAACCTTAAAGATACCATGCTGGAATGAAATAATCCAGTCACGAAAAAAGTCAAAATACTATATATGATTCCACTTATATGTGACACTTAAGAGTAGTCAAAATCATAAAGACATAAAGTAAAATGGAGGGCGCTGGTCAAAGAGTGAGATGTGATTTATATGGACTTATTGTTTAATGGGTAAGAGTTTCAGTTCTACAAGGTAAAGAGTTATAGATACAGATGGTTGTGATGAAGGTACAACATTATCAGTGTATTTAATACCAAAGGACTGTATACTTTGAAATGGTTAAAATGATAAATTTTATGTTTTGTGTTTTACCAAAATTTTTTTAATTGAAGAGGAAAGAAGTATAACCTGCTAAAAAGCAGGAATAAAGGTTAGTAGGAATAAAGAAATAAAGAGTAGTTTCACTTTTTTCTTGCCTCCTCAACCAATACTCCAAACTGGGTATGGCCATGCACTGGTCAAATTAGACTGTTCACCATTTCTTGAACTTGCTCTACAATTTCCTTCTCCACCTCTGCTATTTTCTTAGCCTAAATGCCCTATATGGCTGCCCTTCATTTTAATCTAAAATACTCTATACCTTCTTCAAGAGCAACAAAAATGGCATCTCCAAGAAATTTGCCAGAAAGAGCTACTATCTCTTTTCTGTCCATAGTAGTCTACTCAGACCTCTATTTCCAAATACTATGCATCCTTGTATTTTTTATACAAGGCTTTATATTAAAATAATCCATGTTTATTTGTGTATGTTCTCTTCTATTGCAGATGGACATTCCATCTCTGCTTGAAGCCTTTTTGTTTAAAATTCATATTTACTTTTTATGTTTTCATAAGAATTAGAGATGTGTGTCCCTCAGTGGTGCTTACAAGGTAAATGAAGACTAGAACGTGATGTTATCTGGAGCCCACAGTCTCCGCCCTAAATCAACCAATCAAAGGCCTTTTCCCTTCCTACCTCAAACTAATCAGCTGTGCAGAGGCTGTGCTGTGAAGCACAGGCAAATCTTCAGTTCTACTCCCAATACCAAGAATTCTGCTACTCAATCCAGCCTCAGACAGAGGACTGAGAATAGTGAGAGCAAGACCTAGATATTACATGGCAATGTATTTTAAAGAAAATAAAAGAGAGTTTCCTTAATCTTCCTTCTCAATATACTTCAATACAAAAGATTCAAAATATCCCCCAATATTTCGAGACTGTAAAACACTGCGCTGTTCTTATTTTTCGGCCTTCAGTCCCTTATCCTCATTCCTTTATAAGCCTAGAAAACACTTCAGAAATTCAGGTAAGATGTCAAATTCTCTAAGAAATCTTTTTTTCTCACTTTAAGAGTAACATCTGATAGAAACAGAAGACATTCACTAGCGACTCATCATAACTAAAACTACTTAAAATGTCTAGAATCACATATAAGATATTGCTCCTTACATTTCAATAAGACAATCCATTTACTTTCTGTTCAATAATTGCTTTGGTTTTCATTTTCCAGATTCAAATCCTATAAGCAAAAGCAGTTTTTAAAAAAAGAAACATAACTGCCCTTTAAGGTTTCATAAGCAGTTGTGAAACACAGCAAGTGCAAAAGGATAACAAATGAAATTTCAACACTGATTCTAATCAGTGTAACCATGAGGCTAAATGCTTAGACTCCCAGATCCTGTTTCCCAATCTTTAAAATGGGGGTGTACCATATAAGGTTTTTGCAAGAAACAAATTAAACAAAACAGAAAATGTCTAAAAGAATTCCTAACACATAGAAAGCCAAAAAAAATAAATTTCTACAAATTATCTCTTGAGTACACTTCATTACTAGATTCCGTCCTATTGCTAGTTCTTAGTCTAATCCAGTATGGTCCAATAAGGTAGCCATTAGCCACATATGACTGTTGAACACTTGCAGTAGTGACTAGTCCAATTTGACATGTGCTTTAAATGCAAAATATACACCAGATTTCAAAGACTTAATAAAAAAGCTAATATAAAACATTTCATTAATATTTGTATATTGATTACATAGGGAAAATACTTTGGATAAATTGGGTTAAATATTAAAATCAGTTTCACGTTTTTCTTTTTACTTTTTTTTAATGCGGCTACTAGAAATTGTAAAGTTGTTATGTTTGGCTCTCATTGCAATTCTACTGGGAAAGGCTGAGCTACGCTTTGACTTCAAGCTGATGAACGTGCTCTCTTAACCGTACAGTAGACTGCTTGACCGGGGTTCCCTCGGGCTAATCCACCCCTTATCCCGGCAAACACTTGACCATTAACACTCTTGAACACTTCAGCGGCCCAGGAAAACTGCTGGCTTGATCGCTCTTAATATTAAAAAGTATGGAGCGCAGAGATCTGCAGATGCAACCCGAAATCGTGACCTACACAACAGAGAAGTGCCTGGAGACGGAACCCGAGTCTTCGGTGGGTGTCGGTCAGCACTGCTGCCGGGAGCCCTAAGAAAGTGAGAAGAAGCGACAGAGAGAGCGCCGAGGACCTGATGGAGCATAACAAGGAGCCCCTGGAGTGGAGGTCTGAGGAAGGAAGCCTTTCAGCTTTGGAGGGGACCAGTCGGAGGGCGGCGGGGAAGAGACTCGGCACCGCAGCGCAGGCTGCAGGGAGAAGCGGTACCTTAAGAATCCCCTTCATCTTCGCCAAAAAGGGGCGAAACTCCTCAGGTGACACTTCCGGATACAGCTGGCTCCGCAGCAGCTCCTCCGTGATGCCCGGGTGCCCGTAGAAAGTGTCCTGAGCCAGGCCACTCAACAGCCCACTCAGGGACTTCGAACCCTCAAGCTCGGCCGCCATGGTTAACAGAAACCACGGCCCCCAACAGCTGAGTGAGACAGAGCTACGGCAGCCGAGATGGGCCTAAACTGCTGGACAAACGCGCGAGAGGAAAGTGGAGGCGGAGTGCCTGCAGAAGTCGCTGTTGGCAGCTCCCAGCTCTGCACCTGATGCGAAGAGCTGACTCATTGTAAAAGACCCTAATGCTGGGAAAACTTGAGGGCAAGAGAAGGGGCGACAGAGGCTGAGGCGGCTGGATGGCATCACTGACTCAATGGACATGAGTTTGAACAAACTCAGGGAGATAGTGATGGACAGAGAAGCCTGGCGTGCTGCAGTCCATGGGATCGCAGAGAGTTGGACAGGTCGTAGCGACTGAACAATAACAAGCTCTGCAAAACACAACCCTTACATTTGCCAGTGCGGAGCTATCAATTCATTAGGTTGCAGACCCCTCATTTTGCTTCTGCTGATTTCCCTCTTCAACCCCAGGGCCTACTCAGAGAGGAAATTACTCAGTGAAGATTACTTTAGATGAGCAGCATGCTATGCGGGTGGCGGTTTAAGTTTTGGATGGCTGTTTCGCCCTCCAGGCTTTGCCAGTACTTTAACTGAATAGGATCTATCACTCAAACCTGATCTCTGCCTAATCCTTACCTGTGTATATTTTGTCCGCGAAAATTTGACTCTACCTTGATAATATGTCTGCTTGGGTTGTTAACTGCCTTTTTACATACATGGTCTTGTCTTTCCAGGTAGCTTAGTGCCTCTTAGTCAATGTTCCTTTCTATAACAAATATTTTGTAAACACTTTCTTTACTAGCCTGAAATAAAGTGCATAGATAATATAACTTCCTGCCCATATAATTTCCAAAAATCAATGTATTATTCACCAATAAAAAAGGATGAGTTACAGGACTTCCCTGCTGGTCCAGTAACTAAGACTCTGGGTTCCCAATGCAGGGACCCTTGGTTCAATCCCTGGTTGGGAAACTAGGTACCACATGCTGCAATTAAAGAGTCCATATGTCACCACAAAAGATCCTGAATGCCACAAAGATTGAAGATCCTGTGCAGCAAAATAAATAAAAATAAATGGAGCAATGGAGACTCAGACATAGAAAACAGACTTATGGACCCGGTGAGGGGAGATGGAGAGGGTGGGATGTATATAGAGAGCAACATGGACGCATACATTACCATAGGTTAAGTAAACAGCCAATAGGAATTTGCTGTATGACTCACAGAACTCAGACCTGGGCTCTGTAATAACCTAGAAGGGTGGGATGGGGAGGGAGGTGGGAGGGAGGTTCAAAAGGGAGGGAACATATGCATGCTGTGCTGTGCTTAGTCACTCAGTTGTGTCCAACTCTTTGGGACCCCATGGACTGTAGCCCACCAGGTTCCTCTGTCTATGGGATTCTCCAGGCAAGAATAATGGAGTGGGTTGCCATGCCCTCCTCCGGGAGATCTTCCCAACCCAGGGATCAAACCCAGGTCTCCCGCATTGCAGGCGGATTCTTTACCATCTGAGCCACCAGGGAAGCCCCAAACATATGTATACCTATGGCTGATTCATTCAATGTTTGGCAGAAACCAACACAACACTGTAAAGCAATTATCCTTCAATTAAAAATAAATAAATTTTTTTAAAAGAATGAGTTACCAATACATGCTGCAACATAGATGAGCCTTAAAAGAATGCTAAGTGAAAGAAGACAACCACAAAAAGCCAGATATTGTATGACCCTGTTTGTATGAAATGTACAGAATAGGTAGAACATAGAGACAGAAAGTAGATGAACTAGAGGAATAGGGAATGAGGAATGACTGTCAGTGGGTTTCTTTTGGGGATGATGAAAGCATTCTAGAATTAGTGGCTATCATTGTACAACTTTGTGAATATGCTAAACTCACTGAATTGTAACTTTAAAAGAATATGAACTTCAACAGTATGTGAATTATACCTCAACTTAAAATCAATGACTTAACCATAATTTAGGACAAAAATAAAAGGAAAATAAGTTATAATACATGCATTTCAATGTATAATTTTTAGATTTCAGGCTCAGACAATAATAAAGAGGTAGGTTTTTCACCTATATGAATGTCCCTTGCATGGCAAGATATTTTGTATTCCCGGTGCCTATCTGGCCTGGGCCATTCTTCCCCTTCCATAATTGGGACAATTGAAATACCCCTTTCAAAGTGGTGTCATCTTGTTGAGAATCACTGGTCTAGACTACTATAATATCTACCCATCATTTACCTGAAGTCAAGAGGTATTCTTTGTACTAGAAAAGATGTAAGGTATTTCTTTCCCTAAAGGAATTAATTTTCTAAAAAGCAAATTCAGAGATGCTTTCACAACTCAAAGAAAAGCAAATCTAGAAATAAACTATACATTCTGTTAAGTGTGCCTGCAGGAGTTGCAGAGACTGGTCCGTGTAGGGAAAAAGTAATATAAGGGTAGTAAGTGGATAAAAAGCACTATTAAGCACATGACTTTCAAATTACCCAGCAGAAAAGCTGTAACCATTTATTTCCATGAAATCTTACTAACACTAATACTATTCTTTATAATCTTTGCCATCTGATACATGAGAAATATTATCTTATTGTTTTAATATGCATTTCTTAAATGTTGAGAGTGAATGTTTTTTAATCTATATAATTGATAATATAATATTATTTCAAACATACAACATAATGATTCTATATTTATATGTACTGTAAATGATCAGTACCATAAGTCTATTTAACATCCATCACCACACAGCTGCATTTTTTTTTTTCCTTGTGATGAGCATTTTTAAAATTAACTCTCTCAGCAATTCTTGGGAATTCCCTAGCAATCCAATGGTTAGGACTCACTTTTGTGGCCAAGGGCCCGTGTTCAATCCCTGATCAGGGAACTAAGATCCCACAAGCCTCACAGTTCAGACATTAAAAAAAAAAAAATTTACAGTATTACTAACTATAATTACATGTTGTACATGACATCCCCAGGATTTATTTTTTAGTTTATTTTTGACTGCATTGGGTCTTTGTGGCTGTGTGCAGGCTTTCTCTAGTTGCGGTGAGTGGTGACTACGCTTCACTGTGGCATTGTGGCGGCTTCTCTTGTTGCAGAGCACAGGCTCCAGGCCTGCGGTCTTCAGTAGTTACAGCACGTGGGCTCGAAAGCGCGAGCTCAATATTTGCGGTGCATGGGCTTAGCTGCCCTGTGGCATGTGGACTCTTCCGGGACCAGGAATGGAACCCATGTCCCCTCATTGGCAGGCAGATTCTTATCCACTGTACCACCAGGGAAGTCCAGGATTTATGTATTTTAAAAATGGAAGTTTGCACCTTTTGAACTGTTAAAAAAAATTCAACTTGGTAAATTTTAAAGATCTTGTTACTTTGTTTAATAATTCATGAATAGGGGAGCATCCAATCTAAGCTAGAACGGTGTTCAAAGGAGCTGTACAAAAATGAAAGATTTTTATAGGCAAAAAATAGGGAGTGAGAACAAGAAGTTATACCTCAAAACAAAAATCAGGTTGGTTATTACAAGTTCATCTTCCTTTAGGGGATGTCAGGGATCTATCAGGCAGATTACCTAACTAGTGTGGATTAGGCAATTCCTGACTGACTGGTTTAAGATTCCATTTCTTGAGAGCTGGAACAGCAATTCTCAGTTTGGTGATGTGGAGTTTGTTTCGCATAAGTGACTCCATTTGAGTCCTGCTGTCTTGTTTTAAACAACAACCTTTATGTGAGGACTTTTTATATATAGTGATTGACTTCTTGTATTTCTTCCCATTTCCTTGTCTATCTTCTATAGAGGTTTCTGTCACTTCAGTGATTTCTAAATGCCCTTTATACATTAGTAACACTAACGCTTGTTACTTATATTGCAACATGTTCCTTAGGCTTATAGAGTTGGATCTATCAACCTGCCTAGAAAAATCCAGGAAGTTAGTCAACAAAATGGTTATGAAGTATATCTCTGAGGAAATGGCTTTTATTTGCTTTTTCTGCTAACTTGATTTTTCTAAATGTCTACAGTGTACGAAGCAGAAGATATTAAGAAGAGGTGGCAAGAATACATAGAAGAACTGTACGAAAAAGATCTTCATGACCCAGATAATCACAATGGTGTGATCACTCACCTAGAGCCAGACATCCTGGAATGTGAAGTCAAGTGGGCCTTAGGAAGCATCACTATGAACAAAGCTAGTGGAGGAGATGGAATTCCAGTTGAGCTATTACAAAGCCTAAAAGATGATGCTGTGAAAGTGCTGCACTCAATATGTCAGCAAATTTGGAAAACTCAGCAGTGGCCACAGAACTGGAAAAGGTCAGTTTTCATTCAAATCCCTAAGAAAGGCAATGCCAAAAAATGCACAAACTACTGCACAATTGCACTCATCTCACATGCTAGTAAAGTAGTGCTCAAAATTCTCCAAGCCAAGCTTCAGCAATATGTGAACCATGAAATCCAGATATTCAAGCTGGTTTTAGAAAAGGCAGAGGAACCAGAGATCAAATTGCCAACATCTGTTGGACCACCGAAAAAGCAAGAGAGCTCCAGAAAAACATCTATTTCTGCTTTATTGACTATGCCAAAGCCTTTGACTCTGTGAACCACAACAAACTGTGGAAAATTCTTCATGAGATGGGAATACCAGACCACCTGACCTGCCTCTTGAGAAACCTGTATGCAGGTCAGGAAGCAATAGTTAGAACTGGACATGGGACAACAGACTGGTTCCAAAGAAGAAAAGGAATATGTCAAGGCTGTATATTATCACCTTGCTTATTTACTTATATGCAGATACATCATGAGAAATGCTGAGCTGGATGAAGCACAAGCTGGAATCGAGATCGCCAGGAGAAGTATCAATAACCTCAGATATGGGGATGACACCACCCTTATGGCAGAAAGTGAAGAAGAACTAAAGAACCTCTTGATGAAAGTGAAAGAGAAGAGTGAAAAAGTTGGCTTAAAGCTCAACATTCAGAAAACTAAGATC